TGGATGTTGTGGTGTGAATGTTGCGGTGTGGATGTTGTGGCGTGGATGTTGTGGTGTGAATGTTGTGGCGTGTATGTTGTGGTGTGGATGTTGTGGTGTGGATGTTGTGGTGTGTGTGTTGTGGTGTGAATGTTGCGGTGTGGATGTTGTGGTGTGAATGATGCGGTGTGGATGTTGTGGCGTGGATGTTGCGGTGTGGATGTTGTGGCGTGGATGTTGCGGTGTGGATGTTGCGGTGTGGATGTTGCGGTGTGGATGTTGCGGTGTGTATGTTGTGGTGTGAATGTTGTGGCGTGTATGTTGTGGTGTGGATTTTGTGGCGTGTATGTTGCGGTGTGGATGTTGTGGTGTGGATGTTGTGGCGTGTATGTTGTGGTGTGGATGTTGCGGTGTGGATGTTGTGGCGTGGATGTTGTGGTGTGGATGTTGTGGTGTGGATGTTGCGGTGTGAATGTTGTGGTGTGGATGTTGTGTTGTGGCTGTTGCGGTGTGGATGTTGTGTCGTGGCTGTTGTGGCGTAGATGTTGTGGCGTGGTTGTATTATTTGAAGAGAGGTGAACGAGATTTAATCTGTTATGCGGGAAGTTAACCTGCGAATAAAAAGATTTTTATTTCTTTCTTTGATAGTAAATGGAAGGCAGCATCAATCTTTGGAACGTGTATTCCAGATTCGCTCAAATGTACGCTCTCGTTTGGTTGAGACGAAAAAAAAGTGAAATCCATCATGTAATGATGGTCTCCTGTTTGTAAAATTTTATTAAAAATTTTTTATTTCTATAATATAAAAGTAAATGCTACCCTTTCAGAAAACTGCCAGATGTTTCAGCAGTAACAATCACATTGATGAAGAGATGAAGAGCCGGAGAGACATTTGCAATGATCAAATTGATTTAAAAAATTTAAAGCTCACCGATAAACACGAAATACCTATCTCCACCAGGCTCATGAAAATCATGCGCCATAGCATCAATGTATGTTTCCGAAGGTAAAAATTGTTTAAAAAGTGTAAATATTTTTCTCGGAGGACCTTCTACCTTCCCTTCAAAATTGAACCTCCAGAACCACTGGATATAAATTTAAAACAACTTTGTAGTCGGAGAAGTTATTGCTTGGTAAAAATATTTTTAACTTACTCTCCGCTTAAAAACGTATGTCTTATTTTTGACAACACACGCGGCATCGATGTCAGTGTCGCAAGCACTGGGGGGGTCCCGATCAGACGGCTGTAAAGCGTACATAGGATCTGTTGGCGCTTCTGTATAGGTAGGGAATTTTGTGTTTATGTACGGACCCAGTACGTTTTCAAGATGAATGGCATCAGCTCTCTGGGACGGTCCTGTTATTAAAGTTGGATGACTTATTTTTCAAATATTCTAAAAGTGTAGACCAAAATATTTGTTGGTACTAACACCACGAAGCTGTTGAACAGCATGTGAAAAAGATAATCATAGGTAGAAAACGTTAGTAGATGGTGATGTTAAGCAACCTAATTAACGTACCCTGATTATACGCATTTTTAGTGTGCATTAACCGCTAGAAAATATATTTGAATATATTTACGCCAAGCTATGTAAAAATGAAAAAGGGAAATGTTAAAAAAGTAATATATAAAGTAGCAACCGTATAATGTTTGGATAGCATTGATGTCGTCTTGCCCTAAGAAAATTTCCTCAACCTTTCTATCCGAAACAGCGAAGTACATGATTTCTGACGGAGATAATGCGTGGTCGATCCCAAGGGCGTGTCCAATTTCGTGGACGGCTGTGGCGAAGTATTGACCATCTGAATGTTGTTTAGTATTTTGTTCAGCTTTTTATTTATTTTGTATTTTCATTTTTGTTTAATAATAATCCAGTTTAATTTATGTTGAATCACAGGTAAGTTTATTGAAAAGACTCAGCCGGATGAATGTGGCAACTTTTCTTAAGCGCCCTTTCTACTGGCCGCACGAGATTATTGTTATTGTATTAATAATTGTTATTACAATTATTTTATTGTCTTTATTATAATGTAATTATTATTGTATTTATTATTGTAATTATAATTGTAGTTATTGTAATTACAATCATATTGTAAACTGCTTCTAACGGATCTTTTTAGCGTGTTCATCATCTTTAGGAATGAATTTTACAGCATTGAAACAAACGTTGCCTCCGTTATCTGGACCAGGTCTCCAGGCGTGCGCCAGCTCAATCGCTGCATAAACATTATTTAAATGAATGAATTAATTAATTAACTAATTAAGTAAGTAAGTAAAACAAAAAACAAAGTCAACTAAACGAATCCAGTTCGTTCGACATAGCGGATCGTAACCATCGTGTTTATTAACATGCGTTATTAACATATCAACTGAATCCTTGCTATCGGCCTCGTAGAAGTTGATGTCGCCAGATTTTGACCACATATCGAAAGCCGCAAGTAAGTACTTGCGTGATGTTTCACGGTCCAGGCCTTTGTCCATATATTCATTTATACTGTCTCGAAGGAAAGAAAAATTAGAAATGCAAATCTTAAGGAGAATATGGTTCTTGAATGTATGCCTCAATTTCGGCATACACTTAATCTCTTAAATTAAACTAAATCTAAACATTAGGTTATAATTCGTTTTTTAAAATCAAAAACTTTCAGAAAAAAACGCAAATTTTACAAAAATGAAACGTCCTTCTTCGCCCAAATGGTTCCTAGAATGTTAAAGTTTGATGAGCTATTTTTGTGCCTCGAAAAATCTGGAACACCACATCTGCCGAAAACACCACGAAAAAACCTCAACATTTTCAAAACAATAAAATAATTATAAAAAAGTTTTTGTCTAACCAAACAAAGAGCCCCATTACCTTTATGTTCTATCGTGTATTTAATATAAAAAAAACCTTTTTTGTCGAATAAGATTTTGCAAGTCATGATCATATGGGTCTCCATTCTCTTCAATGCCACCGAATTTTTGAGCCATTTTTATTCCATTTATCAGCGTTTCTTCACTTAACAAGTTAGGCATCTCTTCAATTGCCATACTGATGTAGCCGAAATTCTTCAGGTAATTCTATCGAAAAATCGCATGCCTCGCGAATTGAAACTTGAATGCAGACATATTTCATGAATAATCATATCCTTACAATGAGTAGCGTTAAATTCTCGTTACGCTCCTTATAATTATTTGAAACTGGTCTGCTGTCCGATGAAGCAGCGAGTAAGATGATTCCTGCTAGATCAAGCACAAGCATTTTAAGCAAATTTTCACTCGATTATTTGTTTACTTGAATTAATTTGATTTTGAAAATAAAATAACGGCTTTATTGTTTTTATATCTAGACGTTCTTTCAAATAATCAATAATTTTTACAAGTCTATGCACAATCGAACTTTAAAAAGGTGAAATCAAAATTAAAAGTATATTCTCCATAATTTCTAGGATTGAATGATATTTTTTCAAAATTGTAAGAAATAATTTTAGTAGTATAATTGAAATCATCAAATTCTTTCATTCTCTCATCTCATTATATTATTGTCCAGGTATTTGCATGTACCTAACTTATATATACATATTTCTACTTATTTGTAGTGGTTACTTTGCAAGTTTTGACGAGAGCAAGCAGTTGAATTAATTACACTTTTTAGATATTAATTGATTGATTGACCTATTGATTGGTTAAATGTAGAACACATAAGTCTGTAAGTTATTTAATTGACTATTAAGATTTTTTCAAATTTGTCATCAGTGTAATAGTGAAATTAATCAATTATAATTTAATCGCGATATTGTCGTAAATACATTAAAGATTGAATTCAATAAAAATTAGTAAATGCACGTGAGCAGAGCGGAGTACATTTCACATCCACACGCACAGTTGTGGAACAGCACAACGAAAATTTAGTTTGCCATCTGTGACTTTGCTGTTGAAATATTGGGGAAGGAGGTTGATGATGGGATCTTTCATTATGTTTATATCAAAACATCAGATTAAATAAATTGGTGTCTGTCATTTCAAAATAGTGCTAGTAGATACACCGACTGCAATTCTGCACATGACGCCAGGTTGGATTGCATCCCACAAGGCATGGGTTGGGTAGTATCTTGAGTAGAACTAATAAATTAGGATGCGACGTCCGGCAGATTGGTCCGAACTTTTCAAAGCATAATTGAGAACAATTTGAAGCTGGTGCTAAATTACTCGCAAGATTAGAAAATAATTAACAAAATGAATTCCAACAAATTTTTAATTTATTATATGAACATCGGCCATTTATAAAGCATTGTTCGTGTACACAAAAACTATTAATATTGTTGTAACCCTTGACGCTACCAACACCGATGTTATAACTTTTATGACGTCTATATTTCCAATACCTGTGTCGTAGCTTCCAACGATCGCCTTAAGTTATCCTTATTCCGTAGGTTCAAGATATCCGATAGATAGATTCTTAAACGAAAACTTTGTTTGAACGTTTATTCAAATGCCAACGGTAATAGAAACACTAAACTAATCCAAGTAACTACATAAATCACATTTACAACTTTGCATCAAACCTCGCTGGAAACCTGTCCTTCTCTGCTATTCACATAACACGTGCCGGTCTTGTCTATTCCGTTTTAGCATCGATTCAATATCTTTTTTTACAATCCTTTATGGTCTACAATCCAAAGACCACAAATATAGCAAAGATACCAATAATTAAGATAACAAATATATTCCATATTTTGATCATTCCGGCGGTTATGACAATATTGTTATAACTGGACGGTCGACAACTATCGTTTAATTTACAAAACGATAATCAATGTTAATCAACAACCAACATTAATTATAAAAGTAATCAAATTATCTAATTAAAACTATCAAATTAAAGTTCAGAAACTATCGCTTTCCGAATAACATATCACAAACGTTTATTTCGGGACAACATTCAATGAAAATACAACGTAGAGTCAAAAATCAAATACCGCTTTCGACACAAACAATCTATCGCTTTCCAATATCAAAATTCAATGTCTGTCATATTCAACATCTCGCATGTCTTTATATACCCGTCCTACCGACGCTTCTCGAACTTCCCAGATATCTGGCTGTCAGAAGGTATAGTTCCTTCTCGTACTGTATCGAACTGTATGCGATCAGGGCGACAATAACGTTGTGAAGGTTATAACAATATTATAGATACACGAAATTTTATTATTATATATATATATATATATATATATATATATATATATATTGGGTTTAGACTATCATAAATACAATTATTTATAAAGATTACTGCGTTTTCGGCATCATTCAACTTGTAGTTGAGTCTATAATGATCACTGCGTTTTGAAGTTGATTCACTGCAAGTTGAATAATGCCGAAAACGCAATGATCTTTATAAATAATTATATATATATATATATATATATATATATATATATATATATAAATTCACGTACATTGTTATTCATGTCATGATGAAAAAATAATCAGGAAAGACAATATTAAAGAAGTGTAATAATAATAATAATATTATTAATAATAATATTTATAATAATTATTATTATTATTAGAAAGTTTCAGATACATACAAAAACTGTGTGTCTAAATTGAAGTTGCGTGAGATTCCATCACACACAAACACGCTCGCCAAGTTCTTCTATACATGATGACTTTTAACAACAACAACAGCAATAATAATAATAATAATAACTTGACAACAGTAATAACGATAATAATATTATCAGCAAAAACAACGTAAGGGTAAAAAAATTGATAATAGTATATTATCATACTGGTAGGAACGTGATTCAATAGCACCTCACTTCACAGTGTATTTTGATTATACAACAAAAATGATGATATAAACTAGGCTCATGTATAAATAAAAAAACAAACAAACAAATAAATATAAACAGTGACATGATTTATTAGACCTTTAGCGGAGTAGGTACGAGAATTATACCTTAAAAAGGTGTCAGGTACTTTCAATTCGCCATCTACGTGGAACTACCCACACAGACAAACTTGAGAGATTGTAAAGAATTCATTTAAAGAATTTTAGCCATGCTTGTAAATTTATTTTTATTCATAGCTTTGATACCATGTTTAAAAGTTGTGGCTATTTTGTCAATAATCTATGGATTATTGACGTTGTTGGAATTATTCAAGATTTGAGAAAGATGTTCGCGTTTATGCAGACGACACTTTAGAATGATGATAAAATAAATAAGTAAGAACAGAGCAAGTGTGCAATAATTGGAGATTTTTTTATACTCATGTCGTCATCTGAATACTTCACAGTTCGGTTTCTGAAAAAAGACATCTCGTATTATATGTAATCTCGCCGTCAAGTTATTTATGAACAACAAGAAACAACAACAACCAAACTAAAGTGAAAAGTCAATCGATGAACAAAAGGAACCAATTTAACAACAAAAGCAAGTGAACAAAATTTAGAACATTCTACCAATCGGAAAACGACTCGTAAGCAACAGAAAGGTAACCAAGAAATTTAGCACTGATACAAATACGTGGACAAAAAAAAAACATAGAAACATTGAAAAATTTTGCAACACACAAACAAACAACAATCACAGACAAAAGTAACAACCATAATTAATAATAATAATAATAATAAATAAATAAATAACAAAAATAAGAATTGTGTAACGGTAAAGTGCCTGGCAATGATATTGCGGAGACAGGGTTCAATTGCAGAGAGGCAATGAGCGTAATGCGTTGTTTCACGTGCGTTTACCGTGAGTTTGTTGTTGGTGTGAACAAAATTGAAAAATAAATAAAAATTCATGCATATTGCTGGTCTAAACTCTTTCGTGAATTTAGCATAAATTAAATAATGTATTGAAACAAATTAACTTAATTGGAATATTACGGATTAATATTAAAATAATTTTCTCACCAATTTCAAATAGTTAATCTCTACACCACACACACCCGTCAGAAACACGAACGCTCACACTCGCACACATACACACACACGCACGCACGCAAACACACACACACAAAATATAACTCAGACTACATTTATTTATTTATGCCTATTTATAACAGTTATTTTATGTAATATCTAAGAAAATGTTGTGCTAAAAGTTAACAACAACAACAACAACAACAATAACAACAGCAGATGGACGTCTCAAGATTCAATTCCAAATGAAAAAGGACAGAAACAGCAAGTAAAAAAGAAAGAAACGAAGATAGATAGATAGAGATTTTTTACGTGTTATTCTTCGTCTCTCTCTTTCTCTCTCTCTCTCATCCATCCATCATCCATTCAATCAGAGAGAGAGAGAGAGAGAGGAGAGAGAGAGAGAGAGAGAGAGAGAGAGAGACGAAGAATAACACGTAATAAATTTGTTAGTATTATTAATATTATTAGGCTTTATTAGCATACATATTACATATTCCTTTTAACTGGCATAGATGATTGATTAATTGACTGATTGATTGATTGACTGATTAATTCACTGTATGATTGAATGGATGGATGAAATTTAATCAAAACAACAGATTTAATATTATAAAGGACAACAATAATAATAATCAACCTATAAAGTAAACAGTACAAAATGTCACACGTTTCTTAAGAAGAACGTATATACGTGCTTCGCTTCAACTCGCAAGACATAGAACTTGTGCCACAAATAATATGGAAAAGTACAATATATAAATAAACAAATTGCATGAAATATAATAACTCATTCGTTGATTAATTATATGTTCTCAAATAGCTGAACTATAAAATTTTGAAAACCATAACGAACGTAAAAAATTAAAACAACTGAAAGAAATGCATTCCAGTGTTATAGACACTAACAATGGACAGTAACAATAAACTAAACAGCATAAACAAGTGTAAACAACTGAACACACACACACACACACACACACACACACACACACACACACACACACACACACACACACACACACACACACACACACACACATATATATATATATATATATATATATATATATATATATATAAAATAATATATATATAAAACAGTTTATTCCTTTGTTATGTACGTATGCATGTACCTCTGTGTTTGTCCGTATGTGTATATTTGTTCGTGCAATTAGTCATCCTATGAGCAGATTGAAAATTGTTAAAAATAAATACGTA